AAAGAGAATCAAAAAAAATATTCTGTAACATGACAGTTACCAGCAAGCAGCACTTTCAACTTCCTTGGAGGAAACCTGCAACGTTTTTCAGTCAGGCTGTCAGAAGTAGCCATCTGACAGTCACAGAGATGTTGATCTATTAATTTTCCTTAACCTTTAGTCAAAACAGTAGGTTCCTTATATTCAATGGGGTGTAAAGTATTTCTCATTGCACAACTGGCCCTGCCAACAATAAACCAAAATTTGCCAGGTTTGAAAAGTTTCTAAGTACAAGACATCTGCAATGGCATAAGAATAAATAATATAGATCTACATTTCTGATCAGTTATTTACCAGTAAGCTAAGCCACATGCAATGTTGGAAGACTATTACTGTTACTTGAGAAGCTCTTACACTGTACACATGGGTAGACCTTTAATGTCATCCAACACACCAAATTGTTTATTTTACAACCAAATCCACAGGACTTTTTCAGGGTTCATACTCTTTTGAGGTCTTCAAATTCCATGACTTTCATGACTATTTCCATGACTTTTTCAAGTTTTCCATGACCTAATGTTTAGCTGTCACTTTCGAAAATTTTCAAAACGTTCCTTGTTTTAGCATATTTTTTTATTTTAAACAGTTTAACAGACACAATTACTCCTCTTGATGTTAAATCTTCCTTGCTTTGTCATCTGCAGTGACTAATCTATCAAACAGAGCTTTCATTTTCCAAGACCTTCAAGTACCGACAATTAAATTCCATGACTTTCCAGGTTTTCCATGACCTGTACGAACCCTGTTTTCAGCTGTTCACAAAAGTTCACTTGGACCCACTCAGGTCTAAAAAAAAATATTGCCTATTCGACAAATAGCCCTCACATGTTGCTTGCCCATGGCCATTGCTTACTTGATTTAGTCAATGATTCATGACTTGCCTGCACACTTACTTCCTAAGCAAGACAGCATAAAAAGTTACTTGCCCAGCAAGAAAATCTACTTGTAATGGACGACAGGATGAGACTTTTTTCGAGCCCTACTGATTAAATCATTTTGTTAGACTTATTTCATCTTTCAGTTACTCAAAAATTGCAGTGCAGAAATTTGCTTACACAAAAATGTGAAGAGATTAAAAACACTATCATTAGCAATGCATGATTTCAATGATTGACTTCAGACTATTAATGTAAAGATTCTTACATTATTTTGGCAAAATGGTGGGTTTGATTTTGTTGAATTTCTTACTTACCAATGCTACAAATTGTAAGTCAAAGCTTTTGGAACAGCCAGTGCGTATTTTTTCTCGTATACAAATCTTCACTGAATGGGTTTCATCTCAGAATGACAGTACAGCGAAAAGCCACAAATAGTTTCTCCTTCAATTTCACTTACGTCTGCAATACTCGCATTAAGTTGAAAAAAGGCATTCACTGTTTCTTTAATATCGCTGCCAGTTGTGTTCGGTATGGACTTCGGCAACAAAACTAGAAGTATACTCAATATTGAAGAAACTGGTCAGTAGACATAGTTGAAAACACTACTTGTATTTGTAATCAATCTGTCAAAGACCAGATATTTTCTATTTCCGTGTGTTAAATCAGTGTAATATTCTCGCACATTGAGGAAATTGCTCATGACAGTAGCTAAGAAAATTTCTGCTTGTAACTTCATTCGGCCTACTCCCTAAAGGATTTCAGCAGGATTCACGTTCTGATGAGGGTAAATTCACTGCAACTTCTCATTTTTCTTTCTTCGGTCTTAAAATTGAAGTTACTGCATTCAGAGAAAACACTTTATAGGTAAGCGGATATTTTCTCTTCTCGGCTGGATTGGATCACTACCTTTCCCTCTCATAGTTGGGTACACCTAGTCATAGGCAAGGTTGACTAGTCGAAGAAAGGGGGATCACTTATCCATCAATGATGATCACATTTTGCACCATATTACCTCTTAGTTTTAAGTGTTGCCTTTCTTGGCTGACTGTCTGCCGCCTTGTCTTGGTCTCCTCATCCATAGATTCCACCATTTTGGCAATGGCGTTATCAAGAACAAGAGACCTGACTGGTTTTCCTGTTATGGTCTGGCGACAAATGGGACAGTTGTTCTTCTTCAAGAGCCAGGTTTGCAAACAGTACTCACAGAAGGAGTGAGCACATGGTAAAGTGGTAGAATTAATAAAAAGATCTTGACAAATGATGCATGTAAACTCATCCTCCATCTGCTCAATTACAGTTTTTCTTGTCTCCATTTCAACTCTTTTCGTTTCTTCTTGCTGTTTAAGAAGCTCTTCATTTTTAGACTCAACAATCTGTCGTAGCTCCTGAAGTGTGGATTCCATTCTTATTTCATTCGCTTCTAAATCCAGTAAGCGAGCCTGAGAGGCCTTATAGTTTTCTAGTTCTGTATGTAACAGATTCTGTTGAGCTTCCTTCTCAGAAATAACTTTTTCCAGAGATAGTTTTTGCTGAGTCAGCTGATTTTCAAGTTCTTTGTCTTTTTCCTCTAATTTTCTGTTTAATTCCTCCTGTAACTGAGCTTCAACCAGCTCTTTTTCAGCCATAAGACTTTCCTTTTGCTTCCTCAACTGCTCATTTAGCTGTTCTTCCTTCTCTGTCAACTTTTCTGCAAAAAGAGTCTTCAGAGCACTTTCCAGTTCTTCCTTTTCATTCTCTAGGGCAGCTTTCTGCTCCAAGAGTTTGGCTTGCATGTCTTTTTCTGTCTTCTCCAACTGCTGAACAACGTCAGCATGACATTTCTCTTTGTCTTCTAGAGAAGACTTCAATCTCTTAATCTTTTCCTCAGCAACACCAATAGCTTCACGCACAACAGGATGATCTGCAGTTACCGACACATTGACACTTTCACTCAAAATTTTTCTCTGTTTAACTCTGTTTGTTGAAGATGTCTCCGCATGGGATCTTTTCTTGCCTCTCCCAGCATGTTCAAAGACATACTCAAACTCTGGTGGATTTGGGTCTATTCCTACACCAAAGGCAATCCTATCCCCAGGTTCAATCATGTGACGCAAACTCGGCTGAATTCTACTGCCATTGACATATACTCCATTTAAGCTCTGCAATGCAGAAGACAGAACAATAGACTTATTTATTCCTACAGTGCATATGTTTTCATTTGGTCAATTGGACCTGTTATAAAACAAAGTGAGTGTAGAGAAAACATGAAGGCTTTTCCGTAGGACTACGACATTTTTATCCTACACATGATGTAGGAAACAAGGTGTCCTGCAGTTAAGAGGGTGTTTAGTTGCACTCTATGACAACTGACCTCAATTTTACCCTTGTTTTCAAGACAAACAGAAGGCAATTTGGAAGGAGAGAAAAATTACACGCAGTATTGTGGCTCTTTTTGACTATCAGAGTGATCCAAAGTTTCACTCTGAAGTACAAAAGTACAAATTTTATTTAAATGTGAACAAAACAGAGGTTGAAATTCCTGGTTCATCACTAAAAGTAAGCTTAGATAAATAATTAGTAGCATATTTCGACAAAAACTTAGAGAAGAAACATTAAAAAAGTAGAACATAAGAGATTACACCTTCAAACCAAAACGTGATCAACACAAAATTTTGGTACATGTAAGATAGGACAAACCCAGTTTGAATACATTCGTGCGATAATGTGATACGCTATTTGAACAAAAACCTCCAAGACCCCAACTCGTTTTCAGCTCTACAAACAGGATTTAGAAGACAATTTACACTGCGCGAAACACACTTATTAGCAAGTGAAATTTCCATTAAGGTGGTCTTTTGTTAGTTATCCAACCAGCTGCTTACTTAGCATGGGTTTCAACATGATGAATATTCATAAATGGAGAACAATAATATCAACAAACTTTACCATTGCACTGCTACAAATTAAAAATGCTTAAAATAAAAGGCAACTTCTTACATATTAGACTTCAAAGCTCTTTGGGTTGTTAGGTAAAACCTTATTCATACGTTTTCTTTAAGATATACCCAAGAAGAGACGAAAATAACTGCGCTTTCTTACCTCATGGTCAACTATCGTCCATTTGCCCGCCGAAACAGAAATCGTTGCATGTCTGCGAGAAATCATCAGTGGTGTTGTTTTCGACAATAAACGAACATTTGTTTCCTTAGAAATAATTCTACCAAAGGTTATTGCTTTGTTTGGCAAAAGTAAGACGCTATTTGGACAAAAGGAATCCTTTTCTCCGCTTACAGGAACTGTTTTCCTGAGACAAGCCTCGTACGCCATAACCGCTTGGGCGAGCTGCTTGTTGGGCTGTTTACCTAATGACGCAACAATGCGCATGCTCGAACAACAGGACTACTTAGCGGGTGGGCGACAGTCAAATTCGCACCCTTCCCGAGTAGAGCAGTACAGGGCCAGGATTAGACTCCTTTAGACCATGCTAGGACGGTAGTTATTTTGATTTTCACTTAAAAATCAGTTTTATGATGTATTCGTATTTCTTTAAATAAATTTTGTGTTTCAGGAGTCTTAGAACTCAGGAAAGGCCAGGAAAAGTACATCCCCCTACGACCCACAAGCAGGGCAGTTAGCCATGACGGTGGGGTATTTATGGGCAAATGTTTAAAACTCCTGATTTTTGGTAACTTTTCCCAAGGAAAAGCTCCTTGCCCCTAGCTGCCACGGAGTTTTCGAGAATGAGAAGAGGAAAACAAGAAAAGAACTACCCTTTCCTACCCTCCCTTCCCTTAGTATATTTTCGACGTAATTTTCAAATCCGTCCCTTATGAGGTGCGGAGTTGTGCAGAGGGAACAGTGCCTCCCGCTCCCACGTTCCTTCCTTTGAAGCGTTTTGTCAACACTTCATCTCTTGGTAACTGCGAAAATCGAGGAGGGTCTTCCTTGCTTCAAAAGCACTTTGACAATTTCAGTGAAATGCCGACAAGACGTGGTATTTTATTGTCAGATTCATGGAGTAATCTTTGTAGGAAAGAGGTCGACAGTCCATGGTCATGGATTGTTTGCTGCTGTGCCACTATCATTGTCGGGCTGTTTTTTGGGATGACGCTGAATTTTGGAATTCTGTTTCCAGTGTTGATGAATTATTTTCAAGAAACACGTGAGAGAACAGGCAAGTTATAAGACTGAAGACCCCTTATACTTGTGTTTCTGCCAATATCTGAAAGGAGACCTCCTGTTTAAATCAGGTGGTGGTCCTGTGTAAAATTCAAGTGCGAATAAGTGACCTCTGTAACTACATTAAACCCCCGGTAAATCGAACTCTGAAGGGAAACGACAAACAGTTCGACTTAGCGCGTAATTCGAGTTATCGGAGTAAATTTCAGTGAAATTTTGATCAAGGGAAAGGAAATTTAGTTTGAGTTAGCGGGGAATTCGAGTTATCCGAGTTCGAGTTATGGAGGTTCTACTATATTCCCGGGGTATCCAATCGATGAAATCGATAACCGATGACAATTGGTATCAAGCAATACCAATCGATATTGATAGGCTCTAATCGATGACCAATCATTGGCAAAGATTCATGTGGTTATCAATTGGTATCGATTTTCAATAACAGTTGATAGATAAATAACTGATATCAGTTGGTATCAATTGGTTGCAGATTGACAGAATTGGCACATAAACACATATGCAGTAATTGTAAACACATTTCTCTTAAATGCTTTTAACGTTAACAAGAGAACAATACTCTCGCCTTTCTCTTCAATGCCCTGTCCACAGTATCCTTTTCGCATTGACAAATCAAAAGTTTGTTCCCGTTCTTGCCTCCTGTCCACTCGAATCCCATGAAAACAGCATTAACCGAAACCAGAAACGTCTGAAGTTTGAAAACACTATCTAAAGTGGAAAACTATTTAACATGTCAGCACATGGACCAATACTACAGACTTCAAAAAACAGAAAGTGGGTGCATCGTGCCTTCACAGAAAAATTCTGGTAAAATAAAGAAGTTGTATTTGGCAAACAATGAAATTGACAACGACAGCAGCATTTTTATTTTGTAAGGGTCCAAGCCTGACTTGCCTCCCCTACTTTGCATTCCTTGTACTTTTCCTCCTCTAACCCCTTTCTTTGATTGCAAAATATGAAACATTGTTGCATAATTTCCCTCTATTTTTCCCACTTCCCACCCTGTTAGAACTCCCACCTCCTGCTCTTTCCTCTCTTTCTCCTCCTGTGCCACTCCTGCCCCCTATTCTTCTAAACTCCCACCCCCTGTCCTCCCCCACTAATATGGACGCTTCCACAAGGACAGACACATGTTGTTACTCCCAACAGTTTCTGCATTAAAGAGACATTACTGTTGTTCTTTGCTGGTCACAGAGATTTAAAAATTGCTTTTCTTTCACAGCCTGGGTTGGCTCTGTTGGAATAGCTTGTATATTTGCCCTTGGACCTGTCACCAGCATGTTGGTTAATCGATTTGGCTGCCGTCGAACAGCTCTGATAGGAGCAATAACATGCGTCGCCAGCTTACTACTGTCATCTCTTCCTTCAAGTATTGCTCTTATGTATGTGACGTACAGTATTCCATTTGGGTTTGGAAGTAGCTGCCTCTTTATTTCCAGCTATGTGGTGATATCATTGTACTTTGATAAGAGGAAAGCCATAGCAACTGGTATTGTGGCCTCAGGAACTGGAACAGGAGTGTTAGTTGTTGCACCGCTCCTTCAAGCCTTACTAGATAATTATGATTGGAGAAAAACGTATCGCATCATGGCAGGAATCTTTTCAGTTGTTTGTTTATTGTGTTTGACTTTTGATCCTGCGGTACTGAAGAGAAAAGTGAAAGAAACAGAACAGGATGGGGAAGGAGAAACAGAAAATTTAGCAGTGAATCATGCAAAAAATGATGGTAAAGAAGAAATACAGAAAAAATGGCTGAATTTCTCTATATTTAAGGAAAAGACATTTGTTGTATTAACACTAGCTTACACAGTAGCATTTTTGGGACAACATGCTCCAAGATTACATTTGGTAAGTAAAAGTCTACTTGCACTCTTATAACTCTAAGCTTACAACTGCCAGGGGTGTATAGAAAAAAGCTGTTAGTGACTTGTGATAAACTGCTAGATTCTCTTTTGAAATTGCTTTTTTTTCCTTCGGAAACAAAAAGGGAATTTGACATTAAAGGGGTTTTTCATTAACCAAAAAATCTGGAAATTTTCTTTGATGGATTATTTGTCTATCGGGGTAAGAACGTGTTCTATTTGACACAAGTTCCATTCTCTCCTCAAAATGACAGGGCTTGAACTAGGACAGCGGTTATAATCGCTACCAAAGTTACTGAGGTTCAACTACAAACTCTGACTATGACAGACTTAAAGAAAGATTTTTTGGTCCTGACAGCACAATAATACAATTATAATTGAACAACAAGCGGCATTTTTGAACACTCAGAAGTAAAAATCATTTCTTTTGCAGGGCTGTCGAAAGTAGCCAGCTGCTGACGAAAATCGCCGGCCTACTTGGTTAGTATCGGCTGGCTACTCTGCTTGGCATTTCTTTACGGATGACATTTTGTAAAAAAAAAAATCTCTGGACTGGCTGCTTACTTTGACAACTCAGCCGTCTACTTCAAAATTTTCGAAAACCCTGTCTTTTGTTTTCTGTTAATTCAAGTTTGCTCTTCTGCATCTCTAATGACCATCTCTTATGGTGGTAAAGTGGGTGGGGGTGAGTACCTATCATGCATCACTTTTTTAAAGCCATCACATATCATGGAGAAAACAATAGCCATCATGCATAACTTGCTAGTAAGTTAAGCCAGGGGGGGTCCTATGTCGCCCATCTGAATTTTAAAACGTCTCGTGTCGGTGTTTATAAATGCTTGTCACTTATTGTCGGCTTTGCTGTCACTGTCGCAATTTCATTTTACGTGTTGTTGCTACTTTCTGGGCCATGTTGCTTGTCGGAATTGACCCTGGCAGGGCCTCAGTAAATGAGGTGCAATTTTAGAAAGTTAAGATGGCAATATCTCAACCCATTGTAATCAGGTCTAATGAATATTGTTTTTAGCATCCTTTTTTAGTAGGATGGCCCATTAACAGTAAATTGAAATAACTGTTGATTGTACAAAAGGGTTCTGTGAGATCTGGTGTTGTTCAAATATTAACTATATTAACCAGTATTCAGACTGGAGGAATGAGAAAATGGACCGGAAAATGATGTCATTACTATCGCTTTTTTTTTGTTCGTGCTTCTAGTTTCAAGTGATATTTACCAATCACGGAAATCCAAAATGAAAATCACGTGTCACAGGTTATGAAAATAGTAAATCACGCCTCGTGCAGCTAATTTGGGCCCGATCACGCATCACACTGATAATTTGGGACCCACTGCGTGTCATAGAAAACCCCTTTGCCACCCTGATCTCTACCACTGCCATTTATTAGTTCATCCAGTCCATCCAAATATTTTCTGCAATGACTGAAGTTGACTGCAAAGGGTTTGTGTGAAACAGAGTCCCTGCATTAATGTGTCTAGAAATTGTAGGGAGTAGTGACAGTAGTTATACAACTGACAACATTTTCCAATGATAATTTTGCAGGTGAAATTTGCTGAAGATCTAGGGATATCAGCTGACTCTGCATCAAGGCTGTTTATATACATTGGCATTACAACATTCATCAGTCGCCTGCTCAGTGGAATTCTTTGCAACATGCATTGTGTAAACTCATTTTATGTGTTCATGTTTGGTTTCATTCTAGATGGCTCTTCGGTTATCTTTCTCTCCCAAGCTAAGAACTATGGGCATCTCATTGTATTCTCCTTTCTTTATGGTCTGGCAGATGGTTTTGTCATAGGTACCTTTAATATTTTAATACTCTACTGTGTGGAGCCAAGCAAGAGGGCATCAGCGTTTGGTGTAAGCGCACTGTTTTATGGAATTACTACAGCAACTGGCCCTCCATTGGCAGGTACTTAGAACAAAATAATGCTTCTGATTGGATAGCCTGCAAAAGAACTTTACTGTTAGGTTGGTCAACATGGGTGGTGGATTAGGGCTGGGTTTTTCTGTGAATGGCAACACAAGACTAGTGTTCTCCCCTTTCTGAATTTTCTTGTCCACCCCTGGCATAGCCTGCACCACAGACGACAATAAACTCTGGTTAAGTCAGTCTGCGAAACAGCGCTGAAATCCTTGTTCTGAGACCTGTTTCTCAAAAGTCATGGTAACTTTTCAGGCCCGGAAAGCTGTTTTGTCTTTGTTGTGTTTGCATTCAGGATCAAAGTTTCGATAATTTTAAAAATAATACAATGGAACTAGCAGTTAACGAAGCAAAATAGATTAGTTTGTGGGCTAGGAACTGTGCTATTATTCAACAAGTTTGGATTTGAAAATTTGCCTTCGGGTCGGAAAAGTTTCCGGGCTTTTCAAGAAACGGGCCCCTGGGCCCCCAGCTGTGTACCAGGATTTGAGTATGCGCCATGATTGGCCTATTAAATAAGCCATTGTTGGTTTGCCAATCAAGATGAAAGGAAAAATTCGAAACATATTTCCGGTAATTCGTTGAGTCCGTTGACGGCTCAGAACAAGGATATCGGTGCTGCTTTAGGGCGCAGACGTTACTAACCAGTGGCGGATCCAGGAGAGGGGCCCAGGGCTGGGGGCTCACACCTTCCCTTATTTTTAGATCAAACTGCGGCCCGAAGGCCCCCCCTTATAAAGACCTTAAGATTCGAGGACGAGTCGAACGACTACGACTACGAGATTTGACTTGAGGCTTTTTTGCGTATACTAATAAAATAGACACTGACACCCCGGAAAGCTTCATTGTCCTTTTTTTTCACCTGATTGGTCAATGAAGATATTACATTGGCACAACGCCGACCAAAACGCACCACTCTCGGCTAGAGCCTTTACAGTCAATAACATCACGACTTACTGATTGACCAATCACGTCAATAGATCAACGATACATGCTTTGACCTGTTGACGACTTGCGCAGGCACATGCTTTTTGTATTTAAAACTACTGACCACACCGTGGAACATTTGCAGCTATCTTGAGACAAAATAATAATTGCCCGGGGGACTGAACACGCTTGGGAGCGACTGAGCCATATTAGAACTATTTTGACAATCAATACTTCTCTTTTGTACTTGTAGGTTTTATGGCGGATCGTCTGAACACTTACGTACCATCTTTTATCTTGTGTGCGGTTGTAGAATTTCTTGCTGCGGCCTTGCTTTTTGTTATTATTTGTGCTAAAGAAACATCAAGAAGTCGCTGGCCTATAGATTGTAATCAAGGTGACAGCCAACTGTGTGAAGTAGAGGAGAACAATGAGGGTTTTACTAATGGACAACAGAGTAAAATTGGGTTGCCTGGCGAGACAGCAGAAAAGGAGTGAATTAATGGTACCCTCAAGAATCAGCTTTGGAATCACTTTTGTCAGCGGTTTCTTTCAAAAGGATCAACGTCATTCTGATTTATCCATTTATATGTCTACAGTCATGAAATCTGCGAAAACGGAACAAATACGAGCGAGCTCAAGGATAGCGCGTCAGTCAAAGGCCGTGGACTGTTGCGAAACGTGGTTCTGCCTACAATCACGGACAACAGTCATGGGCCAAATTTGCATTTGTGGAGCTTTCTTTAAATCGCACATGCCCAACCCTTCCCCCCTCCCACCGCTCAAGTCAACTTTTTAAGGCTTGAATAACTACAGATAGCATAACTTGATCTTTTCTATAACATGTTGTACTCTAGTTACTGTTTACTGCACTTGCAAAATAGCGAAAGAAGCTTACAGAATTGTGCTTTAGGTTACAACACGTTTTCCATGGAACATTGCGCTGCAGCTCGTTTCGTTTTAGAACAGTGATTTCTCTACGACTGTACTTACTTTGTGACTGAGATGTACCATGTTGAATGCTACTGTATGTTCAATAAGTGTAATTCCCGTGGGTTGCCCCCCCTCCCCCGCCCATCCTGGGGCAAGCCAATGATAGGTGCATTAAAGCTATCTAAATAGGTATATTTTGTGGTGAAATATTGAAAATGGAACGACGTTCACCGCTTCTAGAAGTATTGGGAAAAGCCCCAGCCCCGGAAAGTGGTTTTCTGACAAATCCCCACCACCTGGACCGAAAAGATGACAAATGCCCAACAAATGCCCGGGAGGCGATGGACACACTTGTAATTGAATGAGCCATTACTAGCCTGCTAGAAAGCTCTCCATTAATTTGGGAATATCGTGAAAAGAAAACGCGCGAGAGGCACGCGTTCTCGTGCGGTTTGCTTTGCTCGCCCAAATAGGAGAGCTTGCTCGCCGGCTAAGCCATTACTAAATACTGGGCCATGGACTTTGTACCCTGGCTCCAGAACTGAGGTATCCTGTTCCAGGCGTTCGGATAGTGGGGTGCGTCGCGAAAGAAGAGAGCGGGAAAAAAGAAGGAGGAAAAGAGGGAATTTCTCTCACCCCTACCCCACCCCCTTGTTTTTTTTTTCTGCTCACACCTCTTTGTGCCGTCCCCACGATCTTACGGTTGATAAAGCTCCCAAGAAGGATCAACAAGGGCAGTTATTTCCCTCTCTCTCTTAGCTTGAGATCATGCCCTCTCCCTATTATCCCTTTGAGTCTCTCACATTTTTTTTCCCCTCTCCAGCCAAAGAAACAAAGAAGCAAAAAAAAAGAAAAAAAACGCCTGATCTCAGGTTCTCTCTCTCTTGGCGCTTCGAGCCTCGCTGTCGCGAACTATCCGGGAGTTAGATAAGAAAAAATCCCCTCTGGAGGGTAACTTTGTGGTTGAACTTTCGTAGCTTAATGGGAAATAACACGCAAACTGCGGTGATAAACATAAGGAAAATGAAAAATGAAAGAGCGGGAAAATATAACATTTTTTAATATGATTTTTAATAACACGCAAACTGCGGTAAAAAAAATATATTATTAAAAATGGAATTCCTTGTTCTTTGGCCATCGTAGCTTGATAAGAATTTTACATTTTTACACCCTCATTTGGCCGAAGCCCCCACCCCCCTCCCTGTAGCGTTCTTTGTGTCACGCAACCGCTCTTTTGTGGAAACATGGTGAGAAAGCGCAGAGAATGACTGTCCATCTTCTACAGTAGCCTGTGAACAGGCTCTCTGTTTGGGGAAAAAAAATCACAGGCTACTTCTACAGCAGGCAAGGAGTGTGATGGCAGCATTTTGTAGAGCTTTCTGCACAAATTTAAGGTCTAGAAGGGAGGCAGACAGTCCCTATTCTTGGTTTGTTTGTTTCTGTGCCTTTTTCATCATAGCTTGGACTCTTGGAACCGCTCTAAATTTTGGAATTCTCTTCCCTGTGTTGATGGACTATTTTTACGAAACACGCGAAAGGACAGGCAAGTAATTAGTTATTGTACCATCTCGATCTGCTGTTTCTTGGTTGTTGTTTCTGCAGTGTTCGTGTATCGTTCTTTCCAAGGCGAAAACCATTGTATATGTGTTCGGCGGAAAATCCACAGGTCAAGCACGGTTGGTGATCTACTTAGGAGGGATATTACGTGTATTTTAGATCCGCCATCGAGCGTGTTTTAAGTCAAAGAAGCATGTAATAAGCGATTTTACGTTAAGAGTCTATCCATACATGGGATCACTCAACGCGATGGTATCAATGTCCATGTTGTTCAATTTTATCCTTGGTTTAAATTTTATTTTACTTTGTTTTGGGCCATGCATGGTAATGTATGATAATGAGCCGGTTTGAAACAAAGGAAAATAGAATTTAAGTAATGATCCGGGTAAGGTGGATAGCAATTTCTTTTGTTATGCGGCAACGGTGCTTTCCCCACATAGGAATGTTCTCATTTTTACACAGAGAATGCATAAACCTACATGAAGGCCGTTTACATACTCTACTGTGTGGAGCCAAGCAAGAGGGCATCAGCGTTTGGTGTAAGCGCACTGTTTTATGGAATTACTACAGCAACTGGCCCTCCATTGGCAGGTACTTAGAACAAAATAATGCTTCTGATTGGATAGCCTGCAAAAGAACTTTACTGTTAGGTTGGTCAACATGGGTGGTGGATTAGGGCTGGGTTTTTCTGTGAATGGCAACACAAGACTAGTGTTCTCCCCTTTCTGAATTTTCTTGTCCACCCCTGGCATAGCCTGCACCACAGACGACAATAAACTCTGGTTAAGTCAGTCTGCGAAACAGCGCTGAAATCCTTGTTCTGAGACCTGTTTCTCAAAAGTCATGGTAACTTTTCAGGCCCGGAAAGCTGTTTTGTCTTTGTTGTGTTTGCATTCAGGATCAAAGTTTCGATAATTTTAAAAATAATACAATGGAACTAGCAGTTAACGAAGCAAAATAGATTAGTTTGTGGGCTAGGAACTGTGCTATTATTCAACAAGTTTGGATTTGAAAATTTGCCTTCGGGTCGGAAAAGTTTCCGGGCTTTTCAAGAAACGGGCCCCTGGGCCCCCAGCTGTGTACCAGGATTTGAGTATGCGCCATGATTGGCCTATTAAATAAGCCATTGTTGGTTTGCCAATCAAGATGAAAGGAAAAATTCGAAACATATTTCCGGTAATTCGTTGAGTCCGTTGACGGCTCAGAACAAGGATATCGGTGCTGCTTTAGGGCGCAGACGTTACTAACCAGTGGCGGATCCAGGAGAGGGGCCCAGGGCTGGGGGCTCACACCTTCCCTTATTTTTAGATCAAACTGCGGCCCGAAGGCCCCCCCTTATAAAGACCTTAAGATTCGAGGACGAGTCGAACGACTACGACTACGAGATTTGACTTGAGGCTTTTTTGCGTATACTAATAAAATAGACACTGACACCCCGGAAAGCTTCATTGTCCTTTTTTTTCACCTGATTGGTCAATGAAGATATTACATTGGCACAACGCCGACCAAAACGCACCACTCTCGGCTAGAGCCTTTACAGTCAATAACATCACGACTTACTGATTGACCAATCACGTCAATAGATCAACGATACATGCTTTGACCTGTTGACGACTTGCGCAGGCACATGCTTTTTGTATTTAAAACTACTGACCACACCGTGGAACATTTGCAGCTATCTTGAGACAAAATAATAATTGCCCGGGGGACTGAACACGCTTGGGAGCGACTGAGCCATATTAGAACTATTTTGACAATCAATACTTCTCTTTTGTACTTGTAGGTTTTATGGCGGATCGTCTGAACACTTACGTACCATCTTTTATCTTGTGTGCGGTTGTAGAATTTCTTGCTGCGGCCTTGCTTTTTGTTATTATTTGTGCTAAAGAAACATCAAGAAGTCGCTGGCCTATAGATTGTAATCAAGGTGACAGCCAACTGTGTGAAGTAGAGGAGAACAATGAGGGTTTTACTAATGGACAACAGAGTAAAATTGGGTTGCCTGGCGAGACAGCAGAAAAGGAGTGAATTAATGGTACCCTCAAGAATCAGCTTTGGAATCACTTTTGTCAGCGGTTTCTTTCAAAAGGATCAACGTCATTCTGATTTATCCATTTATATGTCTACAGTCATGAAATCTGCGAAAACGGAACAAATACGAGCGAGCTCAAGGATAGCGCGTCAGTCAAAGGCCGTGGACTGTTGCGAAACGTGGTTCTGCCTACAATCACGGACAACAGTCATGGGCCAAATTTGCATTTGTGGAGCTTTCTTTAAATCGCACATGCCCAACCCTTCCCCCCTCCCACCGCTCAAGTCAACTTTTTAAGGCTTGAATAACTACAGATAGCATAACTTGATCTTTTCTATAACATGTTGTACTCTAGTTACTGTTTACTGCACTTGCAAAATAGCGAAAGAAGCTTACAGAATTGTGCTTTAGGTTACAACACGTTTTCCATGGAACATTGCGCTGCAGCTCGTTTCGTTTTAGAACAGTGATTTCTCTACGACTGTACTTACTTTGTGACTGAGATGTACCATGTTGAATGCTACTGTATGTTCAATAAGTGTAATTCCCGTGGGTTGCCCCCCCTCCCCCGCCCATCCTGGGGCAAGCCAATGATAGGTGCATTAAAGCTATCTAAATAGGTATATTTTGTGGTGAAATATTGAAAATGGAACGACGTTCACCGCTTCTAGAAGTATTGGGAAAAGCCCCAGCCCCGGAAAGTGGTTTTCTGACAAATCCCCACCACCTGGACCGAAAAGATGACAAATGCCCAACAAATGCCCGGGAGGCGATGGACACACTTGTAATTGAATGAGCCATTACTAGCCTGCTAGAAAGCTCTCCATTAATTTGGGAATATCGTGAAAAGAAAACGCGCGAGAGGCACGCGTTCTCGTGCGGTTTGCTTTGCTCGCCCAAATAGGAGAGCTTGCTCGCCGGCTAAGCCATTACTAAATACTGGGCCATGGACTTTGTACCCTGGCTCCAGAACTGAGGTATCCTGTTCCAGGCGTTCGGATAGTGGGGTGCGTCGCGAAAGAAGAGAGCGGGAAAAAAGAAGGAGGAAAAGAGGGAATTTCTCTCACCCCTACCCCACCCCCTTGTTTTTTTTTTCTGCTCACACCTCTTTGTGCCGTCCCCACGATCTTACGGTTGATAAAGCTCCCAAGAAGGATCAACAAGGGCA